TTCAAGGCAGTCACTGCGTATTGCTGGGTGGAGGCACAGGAAGAAGCAGATGTCTGCTGCCACATCTTGCCAGCAGTGGCAACGTTCACAGGAGGGTAAAAAGAGATCAGATAGGCTAACAAATTAGAGAGTAATAATTATCACAGTCATAGAATGGTTTGGGTTGGAAGGGACCTTAAAGATCATCTGGTTCCGACCCTGCTACACATGGGCAGGGACACCTTCCACTAGAGCAGCTTGCTTCAACCTGGCCTTGAAAACTGCTGGGGTTGGGGCAGCCACAGCTTCTCTGGGCAACCTGTGCCAGTGCCTCACCACCCTCACAGTGAAGAATTTCTTCCTAATAGATAGTCTGAACCTACCATCTCTTATCTTAAAGCCACTACTCCTTGTTCTGTCACTACTTGCCCTTGTAAAAAGCCCTTCTCCAGATTTCTTGTAGGCCCCCATTAGGTACAGGAAGGCTGCTGTAAGGTCTCCCAAGAGCCTTCTTTTCTCCAGGCTGAACAAGCCCAACTCCCTCAGTCTGTCTCCATAGAAGTGCTCCAGCCTTCTGATCATTGGATCAGATTGAGCAGGTCCATGTCCCTCTTGTGTTGGGGACCCAAGAGCTGAACACAGCACTGCAGGTGGGGTCTCGTGAGAATGGGACAGAGGGAGAAAATTACCCCATTTGACCTGCTGATCATGCTTCTTTTGATGCAGCCCAACACAGCTGGAGACTATCCCTTCCATTATAACTTTGGGCATCATTCCAAAATTTGATAGCATGATGTTCCATCATCTCACTACCTGCCCTGAGAGCACTCTGGGGGTTGTTTTGTTCCCCCCTCCCCCTTTTAGCTGTCGCTCATTGTCACAGAAACTCCCAGAGCTGCCTGCCAAAATTCTGGTTAAAATCTGCAGGTTGGTGACCTAGTGGTACTGGGGAAGCAGTGTGAAGTTTTTAGTAGAGGACCATGGATTGGTGTCATCCAGTTGGTAACATTACCAAATAGGTTTCAAAAACGTGGCATTTTTGAGAGGCCAGGCTTATTCCTGTAGATGATCATTGACAAGATTTCTACATGTGGAAGAGATTGAATTCTTACTATGGCCACTAAGTATAGCAGTCTCATTTCCAACTGTTCTGTTAAAGACTGAGCAACTGAAGGCTACTCCTAAATATCCTAATGCCACGATGGTTAAATCAGGCCACGCATTGTTGTCTGGGAGGTACATGGGTGTCTGCCACAGTAGCTGTCACTCACAGCAGCACTAAGTATAAATTACTAAAGCATTAAAGTAACAAACAGAAGAGGAAAGCCAGGCTGTGGAAGGATTATCCTGTCCCATCCATACTGAAAGCACCACATGACCTTCTTCACAAAATGCTAGTCAAAGAAGATCACTTGGTTGTGTAGCAGTGCACGTTGCCCTGGTGAAACTCTGGAAGGCACCGTTGTCCCAGAATCATTCCTGCTAGGGGTTGTTCTTGCACTTTAGTGCACAGATTTCTTTTGGAAGTTTATTTTGGTATTCCTGCAGATGATGATCTTTTTCTGAACTCTGTGCTTCCACCATGGATGACAGTGGCTTTCTGTGTGGTATATGGTATACATTATGGCCAAAATTATTTGCCATTTTTACTTTCAGTTTAACTTCAGTTTGTCTTGATTTAAGCCTCTTGCACTAACACTAAGCTGCTTTTGTTTTTACTTTGGATCCAATAATTTTAATGTTTCCTCCATATGGCAGTGGGTTTTCAAAGGAAAAAACAAGGTATGAGATGAAGTTATTTGAATGGATTGAAACTTATAAATAGGAAATAGCAGGCTAATGGGATATATATGTAAGGAATTCCTGTGTGATATAAACATCTTCCAAAATTTGACAAAATTTCTCACTTCTTATGTTCAGCCCTTCTCTGTACAGGATTTGCTACGCCTTCAGCAGCAGCTGGGGAAGCAACACAGCTACTCCTCTGGGGTGAATGCCAGGGAATAACAGTTATAAAACACATTTCAGTGATTCTAAACAATGAATTACACCTCCTTGTCAAAAGTAGTTTTGTCAAGTGTAACTGGCCTGTAGGGTTATTCTGCGAGTGTGATGTACTTTGTTAGCTGAGTTTCCTTTATAGGCAGTTGGATTATTAGCACAGGGAGAAATACAGGTCTGACAATGCAGATTTTTAGTCCCGTAGGTATGTTGGTAAATATTCTCCCTTTAGGAATATTCAATCACTTGTTAAATTGCTAAAACCTGTGTTGCTTTACCTGGAGTCTGAAATCTGTGTCCTCTTCGGTTGTGGCCATGTTCTGTGAGGCCAGGCTGGGAGCTTCACTCCCAGGTGTACAAGGTGGTACATCAGAGTGTATCAGATGTACAAAAGGTGATGCATCAGAGACAATATTCCTGTTAGATCTGCAGGCTGAAATGTTCACCAGGCCGCTCCAAACTCATTTAATTTCAGACACAGTCAAGATCTACTTGATTTTGCTGTGGCACATGGCAATGAGATTCAGATGACACTAGAATATGGAGGTTTTCTAGTCCCCACTGCACTACTCTGGACACGAGCATCATCAAGTACTGTAGTCTTCCCTACATGCAACTCAAGCTTGCTCTTAAAAGCGATGACTCTGTGGATGCCTTGTGCCACCTCCATTTGCTATGCCCTTCTGCATGGGGTTTCATAAGCTTCTTACAAACCACAGCATCTTATGTCCAGGGGCTGTACAGATGTAGGAAGTGGACCTGAAAACACACACATGATCAGCTGATGGATAGTCTGTGGAAGACAAATAGCCAGCACAGACATGCTTGCAGATAGTTTAGTTTGCTTCATATGGAAGCATCTGAACCTCCATTCAGAAATACCAGATTCTTCAGGGACCTGGACTAGCAATGACAGGATTTAAAAGCAAACAAATAAACAAATAAAAAAAGCAAAAAGAAAATCCCAACAAAACACTAAAATAGGGATTAGAAACAATTTTTTAAATATAATTTGCAGTATAACTGAAATTTGGCACAAACATGTTCCACCTTGGGAAAAAAATGGCTCTGTTCTACTTGCCTTTTAGTAAATACTAATTTTTATACAGTTTTTCTCTTTTCACGTTGGTACTTTGCTACTGAAATTTTACTTTGCTTACTAGTTTGCTTGAAAACAAGCATCAACCAGAGTTCAGCTCCCTCTTATACAGAGCCAGCTTTAGAGACAGGGATCTGTGGCAGGCACGCAAACAAACCCAAGGGTCTCTGCCTCTTAAACAAACCCATTTCCCTCCCCCTTCCAGCCAGTAAACAGCTTCTGGCTGCAGATTTGGTCCTTTATAGAAGAGATTTTTAAGATGCCAGCTGACCTGTCCAGCAAGCAGCCTGGTAATCCTCAAATCATCTGTTCGCTGTGCTCACAGAGAGATGTCACCAAAAAGGCTTGTTGACAACCTTCTGTTGCATTAGAGTCTGCAAAACTGCCACTGTCTTACTCGCTTCAACTTTACCACACGGCTGAATAAAACTTCCCCTTCTGACAAATCTGTTGGCAGAAGAAAACTGTATGAAAAGAAGACTTCTAGTTTCCAGTTTGCTCTGGGCTAAATTGACCCTGATCTGCATAGCAGTTTGTGAGCTCTTTTAAAAACTAATATTTGACAAGTTATTATTTCAGAAGTCTGAATGTGCTTTCCATGCGCATTCTCATACAATGCATTTGTACCAGCTAAATACCATGTTTTATATTAGTACCAAATGAAAATATTTAAATTAATAACAGGTTTATGTCAGTTATTCAATCTTTTCATACACAGTGATAATTTATTTGCAGGTCTTCACAAGAACTTATATGGCAAAAAGGCGGTAATTCAGTGATCAAATAAGAGTGATATTAGATACATCTATGAATCCTTCAATCAACTGTGCATTGACTTGAGTAATACTAATCTCAGCTAAACTGTTTTGTTACATATACAGCATGCTCTGATCCCAAACAATGCCTTAATCCACTATTTTAATAATAGTCTATGGATTAAGGGATCTATACAGTATACTGACACAATGTACTGAGTTCGGGTTCTATAGATGAACATTGCTGTGATCCATTTTAATGGCATACAAGCCATCATAGTATTATGGTGTCAACAGCCTGCAGATTATGTACCGGCTTTCAAAGCATTCTGCAGCAAAGTGAGTTTAATGAACCTCCACAAAGGTGTAAACACTATCATATGTACGGGGAGAGGACTTCAACATAAACGAGCAGGGTATATAAATACCAAAAAGCATTTATAGATAATCAGCTGTAAGATACACAGACTGTTTCAGGTTTTGAAATCTGTCAAAATAACAACCTTAAGAAGGACGGTCTGCTTTCTTGGCCTCCTTCTCATCTACATGTGCATCACACTTTTCTCCTAGCATCCTCATTTCCCTCTCCCAGCTTGACAGTATTTCATGTAGGAAACCCGTCATGATGGATTTACTTCTTTTAAAAGAAATATACTCCAAATAGCTCCATGTCTGTTACATTCCTGCTTCTGAACTGTAATCACCTCCCTCTCACTAAGTAAAATCGCAGGTGCACTGGTAGCAGAGGCTCTCCAGCACCATGTGAGGTAGGGAAATGTACCCACCACCCACCTTCATCTGGCACTCACGCTAAATGTTTAAGGTTAATTTTCCTGACCTCTGCCTGTAGGAAAGGACGTGGTCCTGTAGATGGCAGTTCAGGTACGAGTTGTTGTCTCTCTGAAGTGCCCTTTCTCTTTGAACATGGAAGGTGTCGAGCAGGATGAGCCCCGGCTGGAGTCAGTGCCCATACACAGCACCGCATCCCCCAGGAGCAGCATTGGCCCTGCTCACAGGCTCTGCTCTGGGACAGAGCACCGAGACTCCCTCTCCTCAGCAGCAGAGCAGGAAGCAAGCCCAAGGTAACACATGTAGGGAAGAACATCTTGAACCATCTCATGTGTTGTTCATCGCTAAATTGCTGTCTAATGCTCAGGGAACAGCCCCACTCCAGTCCAGTGAAAACATTTCAGGGGAGACCTTATCACCATGTTCCAGTATTTAAAGGGTGAACACAATGTAGACTCCCTTTTTACAAGGAGTCACATGGAAAAGACATGGAGTAATGGATGCAAGTTATTCTGGGGGAGATTCTGACTGGACACAAGAGGACAGTCTTTCACAGTGACAACAATCTCCCCAGGGAAGTGGTGGATCTCCCACCACTGGACACTTTCAAGTTTCAGATGGACAGGGTGGTGGGCCATCTTGTCTAGGTCACGCTTTGCCAAGAAAGGTTGGACCAGATGATCCTTGAGGTCCCTTCCAACCTGGTATTCCATGATGCTATGATTCTATGATCTGCACAATTTACAGAACCAAATGAAATGTGGTGATTTGTAAGGAATCAAGAAGAAAACCAGTACTGAAACCACATCACGTTCTAATAGATCAATTGCTCCCACCTGGAGGACTGGCAAGCACATCCCTCTGATGCAAACCCTCTTACAAACTCTGTTTTACAGTTGCCTCCCCTTTTTTTCCTCTAATTTCTCTCAGACAGCATATAGAGCACATGGGGTGCGTGCGGCTTGCCAGCCTGAAAATATTTTGACTTTTCTGAATTCCAGTGATTTCATGCAGCCACTTTTCAGTAATCCTCTCCCGAAGTTGCACAGTACTTAATAGCATCTGAATTGGATGGCAACAAATTCACTGTTATTTCCTCCTGATGCCTGAAAACAGGCCTCCTATTCTTGATATCACTTATTGAGCACTTCTCTTTGATTTCTGGATGAACCTGTTCTCGTATTTTCTGCTCCCTGCAGCTTCACCTCAGCTACTGGCCCTGCAGTTTTTCCAGATGTGTCTCACTTTTTTGACTTTCTTGTTCCATCTGTTGATGTTGCTTGCTAACAGTTTACCTGGGGAAGGGAAGGGTTTGATTTCAAATGTGGAGAACCAGACTTGGAAAAGCAACCCTTATAGAGCATCACTGGTGAGGAGCTTGAGATAGACAAAGGGTATTTGCCTTTCCTAAGGAGCTTTCTGTGATCTGTGGAGGATATACATGGGTAAGGCTGTAGATTTCCCCTAGTTCAGTAGGACATTGGTAACAGGCACTCTGCCCTCCACAGGAGGAGGAAGCAGGTGACTGAGCAGTGCTTTTCAGATGGTTGAAAAAGGGAAGGTGGGGTCCTTCAAGCCCTTCAAGACTGCAGAGAGAGCTTTTCTTGACAAAATGACCCCGTCTTTATGTACCAGGACTATTCAATCCACTTTCCATCATGCTAAATGGAGAGGCTCCAGATGATTGGATTTATGGTGGATTAAACATGCACCCCATAACTGTGATTCTGTTAAACATAATGAATAGACATTGGAAAATTCATTTTTCACCCATGAAAGCTATTCAGTGTTTCCTGATTTTTTTCCAGTTTTACATCAATAGTTTTGAGGGAGATTCCCTGCGATTTTCTTGTTGCTGAAAAGCAGGCTCTTCTCGGGGCTCTCCGCCTCCTATAGGAGGAGCCAAACAGCCTCAGCAGCTCCCTGGGCACGGCTATGTTCCTTACCCATGGGCATGATGTTGGCTCTGTGTGGCACAGGAGCACTGCAGGAGAAGACTCCCACCAGGTGATGAGTGCTCTGGAAGCTAGGAGGCATTCGAGGTACACGGCTACTCCCGCAAGCACTTAGCCAGGTAGGAGACCAGGCCCGAAGTAGTATGTTCACCACAGAGGCACTATATAACACTGCTGGCCAGCAAAAATAGGTGTCAGAAAGAGGCGCAGAAGTATCAGCAAGATTGGTGCCAATAGTTACTTATTTCCCATTTTCACCTAACAAGGACATGCATTTGTGTTCACAGTATCAAAAGGAAGGCACGTCATACCTTGGCTGTTTCGATGTTCACTTCCCTTGTTAAAAATCAAAGCAAACGAGTGTCAAGAGGATGCTGATATGAAATAGCTTCAGGCAGCACCAAAGGTCTTTTTTCTACTCAGATCCAATAAAAGATTATTTATTTTTATCAGTATGGCTTATTAGTGGTTCCACAATATTTCTGTTCTACACTGCTTCTTTTTCCCTTTCTTGTGCAAAAATACCTGTTAGTCATTAGTCATACCATTAAGAGATCATTAAAGAGTTAGAAAATGAGTGTAGAACAATGACAACCATATTATCTTCCAGAATATTTGGTTTGCTTTTTCATAGCAACCTTATGCTTTCAACATCCCAGCAGATACTACACCACCGTTACAAAAAAAAAAAAAAAAAAAAAAAAAAAAGTGTTTGAAATGCAACAGTTATAAAAAATAGTGTACTTTAAATGTACATTGTAGCACCGGGCTGGCTCTGGTGCTTTGTTGATATAGCAGGAGGAACACGGGTAGGCAGTTACCTTTTTTTTAGGCTATTTTGCCCAGCCTGTTACAATTGCTAAATGATTTTCAACAGCACAGTTGATGAGTCATTTAATCTTCATAATTTGATTTCTGTCTGAGAAGTTGCAGGATCCCTCTCTCTGATCTGTTTCTGTGTGTAGGTGTCATATGTGCAGCTGGAACATTTGTGCCCCTGAGGTGTTGCAAGAAGACACAAACACCAAAAACACCAACAAAATCAACACTGAACACCAGCCCCAGCTGAGCTCAGAGACGTTTTTCTCCACATACTCTTCATGTACATGCACCTCCAAGTGTCTTAGCCCTGAAGATCCTGCTGCTGCAAGACTCGCATCCTCAGAAGCACCTGGGTGCCTAACTCCTGACTGTCAGTGGGAGTTAAGCTCATAAATACCTTCTGTGCATCCTGGAAAATGTTACATTGGCCTAATCCAATTAATGGAAAACACAACATCTTTAAAAGGCTTCCAATTTTAAAAGGGCAAGACAGACAAACAGTGTTTTTCCCAGAATACAGAAGGGAAAAGACAGTAATGAGACTTACTCGAGATCCCTGTGTTCCTATGATCATTTATGAGTCAAAGAGGCATATGTCATTTGGAAATGAACAGGCTACCTCAGGCTTTCTGACATTCAGACACAACCTATACTCTGCTATCAGTGCTGGAAAAGGGTGCCTGCACTTTTGACGAGTCGAAACTTGAAAGTCTGACAAAACTTGAAAGCTGCTCAGTGCTGATCCATTGTCACCACGGTGTCCTGCCTCCCCATCTGATGTTGCAGCACTAAATGCTGTTGCTGCAAAGAAGATCCACATTTTGGGCGGAGGGGGAGGGATTGTTGCTCCTAGCTGACTGTACCACTGCTTTCATCCTCTCCAGGCTGCCATGTGGAATCATAGAGAGATAACAGCCAAGAGGGTCTGCCAGGGCCCATGCATCTCCCTTTTTTTTTTTCCCCACTGCTGGCCAGCCTCACCAACAAAGTGGGGAAGGAGAACATTTTGTACACATGGGAGTCTTGCAGTCATAAAGGGACAAGACAAGAGAGGTCCAGGAAAGAAATACCCCGTCCCTGCAGAGGTAAGAGAGGGGCAGGAGACAAGTTCCAGACACTCCTCCACCACCAGTTCTCCACACACAGTTCTCTGGACCTAGTCAGAAAAGGGTTAACCCTACTGTGCTGCTAGTGATACCAGGAATTGTTTCTTTGTTATCAAGTCATGTCAGATTTAAGCAAGCAAGATTACTAAGGTGGGGAAGTTGAGTGCAGGTCACTTTCATGCTTGAGCACAGCTCTTCAAAACAGCATATTTCATTTTGCTAGGAGGGGAAACTCACACTTGCTGACACCGCTTCCCAGTAAAGTGATGCTAAGCCAGATTGGAAAATTCCTACACAGCCCTATGAGAAAGAAAAGTAAATTTTGTGTCAGGGGAAGAATAAAATTATACAGCAAAACTCAGCAACACTAGAAAATTAAAAAGCTCTTCCATGAGGACTTGAGCTTGACTACATTGACGTGAGCCCAGGCCTTTCAAGGAGCAGGAGCACCGTTTTGGGGTGTTGTTTAATTATCCTTCTCCTGATTTTATAAAACCCATTGAATACAAGTGTCTTTGGGATCTCTCATAGAATCATACAATAGTTAGGGTTGGAAAGGACCTTAAGATCATCAAATTCCAACCCCCTGCTGTTGGCAGGGACACCTCACACTGAACCACGTCACCCGAGGCTCTGTCCAACCTGGCCTTGAACACCACCAGGGATGGAGCATGCACAACTTCCCTGGGCAACCCATTCCAGTGCCTCACCACCTTCTTACAGTAAAGAATTTCCTACTTATATCCAATCTAAACTTCCCCTGTTTAAGTTTGAACCCATTACCCATTGTCCTGTCACTACAGTCCCTAATGAAGAGTCCCTCCCCAGCACCCCTATAGGCCCCCTTCAGATACTGGAAGGCTGCTATGAGGTCTCCACGCAGCCTTCTCTTCTCCAGGCTGAACACCCCCAACTTTCTCAGCCTATGGCCAAGCTTGGTCCAAAATGGGCAATGTGTTCAGCAGCTGTGGAAGGGAAGGGATGGAAGATGACGGGACAGACAGCTGGCACAATCCAAGCTCCTGCCCTTAGGAAACCTGGGTGAAATATCACCACTGCTGGAGGAGCTTGCTGGGATTATGCTTTGTGCCCACTCCAGCACATCAAAGCAACATGGCAAGAACAAAACATCCTCAAGTCTAGCTTTGTACTGGTGGGAAAAAAGCAAATCAGCAGAATCTCTGCTACACTTTCAGGTCCCTTTCCTTCTAAATTTCATTTTCTTCCTGCCCCCTCCCTTGATACTTCATAGAATAACAGAATCAACCAGGTTGAAAAAGACATTTAAGGTCATCAAGTCCAACCATTACCTCAGCACTGCCAAGTCCAGCACTAAACCATGTCACTGAGGGCCTCATCTACACGGTTTTTGAACTCTTCCAGGGACGGTGATTCCACCACTGCCCTGGGCAGCCTGTTCCAACGCCTGAGCACACTCTTTGTGAAGAAATTTTTCCCAATATCCAATCTAAACCTCCCCTAGTGCAGCTTGAGGCCATTTCCTGTTGTCATATCACTTGTTACCTGGGAGAAGAGACCGACCTCTGCATCACTACAACCTCCTTTCAGGTGGCTGTAGAGAGCAAATGTTACCTTTAGTCTTGGCTCTTTATCCTCTGCAAGAATGAACTATTTCCACTTGTTGCCGTTATTCCCGCATTGAGACATGCAGAGCTGGTGCATCCCAGCCAGAACTGACCGCTGGCGTCAAAGGCACGCCTCGCAAGCCACCACAACGCTTCAGCCAGCACCACCACACACACCCCCCAACTGTGCCGCGGTGTACCGAGGCCTGCTCCAGCAGGGTGCGCTACCACAACGGCTGTACCGGCACCGCCACCTCTGCCCGGGGGGGGGGGGGTGAACTAGCCGCACCGGCAGCTTTGGTTTTGCCCGGGGAGCAGCTGACGCCCTCACACACCACCCCGGAGGGGAGCGCGGCCCGCCCCGGTGCTGCTGCGGGGGCACACCCGCCCGTCAGAGCCCAACGGCCACTAACGGCTCTGCGCTGACGCCCGGCTCCTCCCCGCCCGCGGCCGTCCCGGGCACGTGGGGGGCGTGGCGCCGGGCACCAATCAGCAGCGCGGGGCGGGGCACGCTGCGACCGCAGCCAATGGGCGGTGTGTGGAGGCGGTGCCGAGGCGGTGATGATGGCGGCGGTGGCGGCGTGGGTCTGCCGGCGGGCTGGGCTGCGCGGGGGGAGGTGCAGGCTGTGAGTGACGCGTGCGGCGCGCGGGGGGCGGGACAACGGACCCCAGCGGACCCCGGGCACCGCCCCGCCCCGCCCCTCCCCGCCCCGAGGGGGTCTCACCTTAGCACCGCCCGGGCCCGCCGGGAGCGGGGCAGCGGGCAGCGGGGTCGTGGCGGGGCCGGGTGCGCCTGCGGGGTGAGCCTGCTGCGGCCGCGGCCCGGGCCGGGAGGAGCCGCGGGACCCTGGCTCTGCCGCTGGCGTGGCCGGCGGCAGCCCGGGAGCCTCTGGCGGGCGAGCCTGTGCTTCCCAGGCTCGGGAGGTCGCCTGCCGCCGGTCGGTGCCCCCCCATGAGGGCGCCGGTAAGGCACGTCCCTCGGGCACAAGCAGTGTGAAAGCAGAACTAAGTTTCTTCCAGTTACCACGAAACTGGGCTTGTTCGGGAGCCTGGTTTGGTGCAGCTCGGGCTGGATCGGTACCGTTGGGTTCCCTCCTTCCAAGGGAACACCGTGTTGTCTCCTCATTGATAAATCATCCTTGATAGAGCTGAGCATAGGTCGTGATCTAAGCAGAGTGGGGTTGTCGGCAGCCTCATCAGCACCCTTCGTCCCAGGTTTGGGGGGTGGCCTTGTTGGTCCAGAGGGGTGACGTTCCTTTTTCTCTGCCACAGCAGTGGCTGGACGAGGGAGGGTTACAGGTGGTTTATGTGCACTTGTAAAGGGACCAAGGTCACCAGGCGCTTTCCCACAGCTGCTCAGATAGCTGTCAGGGCATGCACTTCGGGCAGGGTGCTCAGAAAAGCTCCACTGTAAATACATGGTCCCTATGCAGGTCAGTTTGCAGAATCAGGCCATACGTGACATAGACTGTGTAAAGATGAGAGCTCCACCCCACCTTTCTCCTGGAGATCTGTGTGGTTTTAATGTCCAGGTTTCTGCTTGCAGGTGTGTGCCTGCGTATTACCTGCAGGCAGAGGATGCCTTCTGCCCAAGGGACTGATTGTTGGGTCTGTGCTGATTTAAGGGAGGTTTCCGACAGCAGTTCTAGAGGGAGAATAGATATTTTAATATTGCTGTTAGGCAGGAAACCAAGTGTTATTTTGGTTTAATCTTTAAAGCTTTAAATTCTTGTAGTCTCTGCTGAGACCATGATACTATAAATATTTTATAGTTGAGTAATAAAACAGTAGCAGTCTGTAATAACTGTAACATAGATGTTACTGTGAACATGCAATATTGATGCTGGTGTTCTTGGGGAGCCTTGGGGACAGCTGGACTGCTTTGTCCTGTGCTAGAGGCGCTGTGAACAGCCCATAAAATCCATGTCAGCCTTTCTTGCCCACAGTAACGCTGTCCTGCGTAGCACCCAGGGTTGTTTTTCCAGCCCACCCCTGTCAGCTTGCTTTCACAGTCTGTTTCTGGAGAAGATGCATGTGTGTACAAGCCTTTTTCTTTCTTTCCTTCTCCTGCCCCATTATTGCAGAAGAATCATCAATGCTGTGCCTTGCTGTTTCCGGTCATGAGGAATTTTGAGTACTAATACTGTGGGGAGGAGCCTGCACAGTGTGAGGGCAATCAGATGATCATGTTGTATCTGCATAGCACCCTTCAGGGCTGGGAGAAGAGGCTGACCACATGCCCATGGTGAGGCTGCTCTACTCCAGCCGCGGTCAGAAAGGACTTCCTTGGCTGGTGCTGCTATGGGATGGGATGTAGGTACCAAGAACCAGCGCCCTCTCACATGACTCCCAGGAGATGCGACAGCCTCCCTGCAGTGGGAACTGCCTGCCCCTGCTCCTCAGTGCTGCTGTGGAGCCTGAGAAGCCACCACTCAGGTGGAGACCAGAGAATTTGGGGCATCTAACCAGTCAGAGACCTGGGCGGGATGAGGCATGAGGAGCCCTTGCTCACCTTTGAGCTGGGCAACTGTGTGCCGTGGAGAGAGAAAATACAGGGATGACTTCAAATGCCAACAGTCAATGCACACGGTTGGATTTTATTAGCAGCTCCGTGGTCTTCAGCAGGAGTCCACTGGATCCGAACCATAGTGCCTGAGTCCCACAGTGTTCATTGACACGCTGCCGGGCTGGGACCTGAATTACAGCAGGTACCACTGATGCAGTGTGGCCACCTTCCCAGCTGCCCCCACCCTCTCTTCGTGTGGATTTTGCTGCCCCCACAAAGCCATTGGGCAGTGCTGCCATGAGAATGTGGATGGAGCATTTGCATCATTAGCAGGCAGGTGAAACCTACTGCACCCAGCACTGGTTTTGCTTATTTGTGATGTTCCAGAGCTTTTGGGCTCTCCCTGCCTCCCATGCACGAGAGGGTTTTTATGTGTATTTATTTGCATGGCATATTCCAGCCAGATCTGTACCTACGTACCCATGCTAAGTCAATCAGAAGTTGCACCATTAAGCTCACATCTTGGTGGAGCACTGCTGAGTATGGAGTACACCATGTGGGCATGTGGAGGACGGTGTGCCCAAAGATGCAGACATCAGAACAGCTGCTGGGAAAAAAGGAGTCTGAGAAGAGTAATGACCCTGTGTCAGGTCTTGTTCAGGGACTGCATCTATGTCACCTAAAATTTCTAGCATTGGGAGTTTTTCCTCTCCTCTCCGGTCGCCATCTTCCCTCCCAGGAATCCATCACTTCTCTTGTGTTTCACGCTCCCAAATCTGTGTCTACTTGGCAAATTAGTGACAGTGTTGTTTTTCACGGATTGGACACTGGAGGGTGCTAATGCAATGAGAGCTGAAACTGTTCTAGCGAACTAAAGGTTCCCCCTTTGTTAGTTGGGAAATAGTTTTATTCTTTGTTGCAGCGTTTAAATGGAAGGACATGAATCATGGCTTTTACCAGCAGCTGATCCTGCTCGGCATGTGTGGAGCTGTAACCAAGAATATCAATAAAGTGTTAAGTCTGTGAGGGATTTCTTTCCTGAACCTCTATCGAAAAAAATCACTCATTCTATGTTCTACACATTTTTAAGTGTGTCTTTTGAGATTATGGCCTCGGGGTGGAAGTGTGACTTTCTAGTGATAAAAACACTCTATCTGGCAGAACTGTTGAGCCATATCTGCAGAATCTGCTTTTCTACAAGGTCACTTTGTTTCACCTAAATTAATGTTGTGTTGCTGGCAAGCTGAGAACCTGATAGAGGCTCACTTCGGGGAGGGAGGTGACATCTTGAACACCCCTGCTCCAGTCACTGGTGTTGCAGTCCTTCCTCTGGGGGTGGACCTGGTGGAGCCCCAGTTTACCTCGTAACCACATCACCAGGCCACGTGTGAGGGAATGTGCAGGATGGGGCCTTTCATCAGCCATCGCTATTGGGTCAGGCGAAGCACATTGCAAAGCTGGGCCTTAGCTCTGGTGTTCACTCATGCATTTTTGGCAGGTTGGAGTTACATTGGGAGGCTTTGTGCCAAAGGAAATGTTATCTGTCCACGCTGCTTCAGCTTTCTGCTGAACTGGGTCTCTGCTCTCCTCTGCCCTTGGCAGAAAGATGCGGGGCCTGACATCAGCTCCCCGCTGCACGCTCTGGCAGCTCCATACTCGGCATTAAGCACTGTGAAACTACTGCCTGAGCCAGTTCTGATCCTGGCGGCAGCAGACGTATGAAGCTGGCTAATTAATGCTAATGAGGAGCAGGGTGCAAATCTTAAGTGTGTCCAGCTAATCAGCACTGGCACCCTAACTTGTCTGCTTAAAGCTAATGCAGTTCTGTGACCAGCAGGTCGAGGGAGGTCGTTCTCCCCCTTTACACCCGTTCTCGTGAGACCCCACCTCCAGTGCTGCGTTCAGCTCTGGGGCCCCAACACAAGAGCGACGTGGACCTGTTGGATTGAGTACAGAGGAGGGCCACAAAGATTCTCTGAGGGCTAGAGCACCTCTCCTATGAAGGCAGGTTTGAGAAAGCTGGGCTTGTTCACCATAGAGCTAAGAAAGCTCAGGAGAAACCTTGCAGCAGCCTTCCAGTACGTAAAGGAGGCTTACAAGAAATCTAGAGAGGGACTTCTTTGGAAGAGCAAGTAGTAACAGGACAAGGAGTAATGGCTTTTAAGCTTAAAGAGGGAAGATTTAGGTTAGATATGAGGAAGAAATTCTTCCTTGTGAGGGTGATGAGACACTGGAACAAGTTGCCCAGGGAGGTTGTGGCTGCCCCATCCCTGGCCGTGTTCAAGGCCAGGTTGGATGGTGCTTTGGGCAACCTGGTCTAGTGGAAGGTGTCCCTGCCCATGGGGTTGGAACTGGATGATCTTTGAGATCCCTTCTAACCCAAACCATTCTGTGGACAGTCCTGCCCAGTCCTGTACCTGTCTTTGCAGACCTGTTAGCTAAATGAAAGCCAGTATTCAAAAAATGTGTAAGTAAAATGGAATTGGGTGCAAATACACTTTCCTTAGAAGGCTTTCTTATTCAGTACATGTGGTTATTGAATTGCTCCTCTCTCTCATTCCCCTTTATAATTTAATTGGGCAGTCCTCCTCAGTGTTACCTCACTGTATTGTATTGGTCAGTTTT